CAAGTGTCCAAGAAAAGTTTTATTTCCTAAATTTAAATCAGTGTTATTTTTTTCCCTCCAAGCAATGCATGCATACACAAAAGCAATCCTGGGTAAACAGCATTTTGCTTTATACATTTATGAATGATTTTGCTCCCTGCCTGCGGTTCTGCATTAAAGGCCAGCTCCACTCTCTACAAAATTCAGCATTTTACAGCCGAGCAGAATCTCTTCTGTAGCCATATAGCTCATATAAAGCTCTCTAGGGTGCGGGCAGCGGCCTAAACCAAGAATAAAGAGAGCCAATAAAATAAATATGTATTATCTCGCCTTGCTATATTGCCCGCATTGCTTTAGATGACAGGTAGGCACTGGAGGGGACTCCATTAATTCTGTCTGGTTTCAGCGATTCACAGACTGTGACGGAGAGAAGTGTACAAGAGCCCGGGGAGAGTGGGGGAGTTATGCCACAAAGAACAATCGGCGGACTTCAACAACACGGAGCCACTTTGAATTCAGGACGTTGTGTCAGTCATCATTGCCATGCTATGCAAGGAAGGGGAACAGCAGGCGGCCACTGGAGAAAACAGGTCACGGCTCAGAAAAGAGGCACGGTTTTGTTCAGACTTTGGTTTTGTGTATCGCCGTTCTCTTGTTTGCTGCTCTTCTGTTTTTGGTTCTATTTTTTTTCCTCTCTCTGATTTGATCATCCTTTGATGTACAGGAGGAATAAAGAATTGGTCTTCCCAAATCTAATGTCTCCCAGCAAGTCAGGGGTGGCAACTTTGAGATTTATTTAACGTATACCAGACCAATTTACACCCAATGGCAGCGTGCCAGAGCAACTGGTGGATGGCACCACAGCAATCAGAAAAAAAATAATGAGCTGCCAGCACACCTTCATCTTCTGTGAAAGGAGCCATCTTTATTGGCAACATAGATGCCTGAACCTTAAATAGAACCTGAATGAACAAAGGGACAGGTTCCCTTAAAGTGACACTAAACCATATCCTTATTCTCCAAAAATAACCCATACACACCCACTATTTAATAGCCCTGTAATCTACTTTTCATTAAATTGTATCTTACTGTGTTTTTCTGCCTCTTTTAATGTCCTTCCTGAGTTCCCAAACCTCTCCTTTCCCCCTCACTTCCATTTGTTTGGAACGAGCAGAGCATTAGTTGTGGTCATATGCACTGCTCTGTGCACAACACAAATCCCATAGTCCTTCGTTCATATTAGGAGGGAACAAGAGGGTGGTTATGTTTCTACATACAGTGGGACCATGGAGAACAAACATCACCACCCTCTAACAAGAAGTCAGATCCCAGCAAAAAAAAAAAGAAGGAATTTGGAGGAGGCTGAGCGCAATAGAAGGGACGTTTTGGGTTAAGAATACATACCTGAATAGATTCTTTAAACCCGGTTTAGTTACTTTAACAACAACATTCAAAAAAAAAAAATGCAAGCTAATTTAATATTTCAGCTAAGTAGTTCAAGGAGGAAAACTGTCATTCTGACAATCTCTCAGCTCAACCCTGAGATATATATATATATATATATATATATATATATATATATATATATATTTATTCTGTATATAATATATATAATTTCATTGCACAAGGGTGTCCGGCACCAAGTATATAGTAATTGGTAGTTTAGCAGATCAAATATTAGACCAGCCTAACGAAGACAGTTTGTGGATGTTCTGCTGAGCTTTAATAAATTTGTAGTTTATCATTTTGATGCTGCAAACTCTTCTGCTGTGAATTCCTATATGACTGAGCTTTTTTGGGTGAGGCTCTGTTTGCAGACACTGAACTACAAGTTGCAGGTGCTATTACCCTCTATAAATAGATAGATAGATAGATAGATAGATAGATAGATAGATAGATAGATAGATAGATACTTGAAAGACAGTATAGATGGTTGAATTAAAGGAAGGATGGATGATGAAGAGTGAGATAAAGTGGACTTGAGAATGCTTGTGTAGAGATAGATAGATAGATAGATAGATAGATAGATAGATAGATGACACATGTATATATCCTTTTTTTTACTTGGAACCGTAGCCTTACTCTTTTGTCTTACAATCAATTTCCTAAAATGTTACACTTAAAGTATGCATGAAATGCTCAGCTGCCATTGTCAGGTACATGAGTCGGAAGCACGGTTTTCTCCCAGCTGAAACGCAGCAAAGAGCAGCTGCCAAACTCGATTCACTGACTTCTCCATCTTCTATTTGATAGGCCGTACAATAAAGCATTGTTTTATCCCCAGAGAGATTACGGGACATCAACACAAACCTCGTTTTGTCTCTCTCCTCGTAGTACCATGGCACGGATAAAGCAAGTCATTTCTCTCTCACATTAAAAGTGCCCCAGTGGATCTCCCGCTTCAGCCAGTAGCAAGACACCAAACTGCTCTTGGGTCAATGAAGTTATATAACAAGCGAGGGAAGAGGGTGAGGATGAATATGGCACAAATACAATTTAGGACAAACTGTATCAGTAAGAGACCTTACAAATCAAAGTGTATCTAAACCCAAAAATTATAGTATATTTCACCTTCCTTGTCTTTGGATGTGATGACTGCATCAACTTTTCTCTCTTGAAGTCTTTTTCATTTTATTTTGCAATCCTGCGAATGACACACTTCCTCTTCCTGAGTGGCTACACTTAAAACTCAACCATATCTATGGAGGGAGCCATGTTTTTACCCATGCTGGACTTTAAACATGTCTGCACTTTCATTTATAATACATAGGTGGTGGGCAGAGTAGCTGAAGAGAAATAACACTGTTTTAAACTTCTGAGTAAACTCACATGGATTGATAAAGTCACTGAATTTCTGGTAAGGACAATAAGTAAGTTCTGAATTTGCAAAAATGTATTTTGCTTAAAAAAAAAAAAAATTCAGCCACCCTATCTGGTCTAGGACTGGTAAACTACATTATATTAAAAAAAAATTTCTTGGGTTTAATTATCCTTTAAACCAAATATAGAATTTTATTTCATTTCAGCGCCATTAGCATAATACAATTGTTATGAAAAAGGCTAGCAATAAATGTCCCAGTCCCAGCCGGCATAAAGTCCAGGCTCTATACAGGAACAGGGCATTTCAGAGTACCTAGGTGTAAATTTGATACAAAGCAAATGATGATATAGAAGCAAAGCCTACAAAAACAGATGGCGTGGAAAGATTACAGATGCGTTAACCACAATTATGTTAAAATCCACTTGGAAAACATCTGCCTAATGGTATCTTTCCCAGTTTTAAAGGAATCAGCAAAGAACGAACATGATGTTTTTATGGAGAGGAGCCAAGAAACTTCCCTTGAACACCATAGTAGCAATGGAAGTGCCAACTGGAACCAGGATACAAAAAGCTATCTTTCTGCACGGAAATTTTAACGATGTGGCCTCTGGCCAAGAATCGGGTCACGCTACATTTATACAGGGCTACATATCTGACTTATATCAGGAAAAATGCCAGGCATCAAGGCAACAAGCCCTCTCAGAAGTATGTCAGCAATGGTGGCCTCCATATTTCTCTCGGTACAAGTCATACCAAAGAAGACAGGACAACCAGTAAAGGTTAAGGCAAAAATCTTGTAGTTCCAGTTCTAAGAAACAATTATTAATTTTCACATTTGCTTCTTTCTTCATTGGTTGTAGTTTTTCTTGTTGACTGAAATTATATTTTTGTTATGTTCAGGAAGTTATGTAATCCTTGGTTGTATGAACATTGGGTCACGGAATTCTCTCTTCTTTCAATAAGAAATATAATGTAAAGAAATGAGGGTAAAACCACCAGCAAGTGTTTTTGATCCTCCACTGTCAGGAATGGTCTTACCTCTGGTAGTGCTGGGGCTTACCTGCCTTGTGGGCTGCAGTACCAGTGCTGGCCAGCGGGTGCTCTCAACAGCCAGTGTCTCACTCCTGCAATCAGGCCATCATCTGAGGCTCATTGCTGGAGGTGTATTAAAGCAGGACCAGGCCTGCAGTCAGTGCCTTGGTGTATTGCTCACTTGTGCCCTGTAGCCTGTCTCCTGCCTGCCTGACGCTCCTGCTGGACTCTGACACTGCTTGAACTCTGCCCGTACCGACCCCGGCTATTCCTGACCACTCTTCTGCCTACTCCTTTGTACCTTGTCTGCCCGTTAGGTACCGACCCGGCCTGCCTGACTACGTTTGTGCTCCATACATATTTATATGAGTTAAGGTTTGGGTTTTGTTTGCACTTCGTTGTACATATTTATATTAGTTTAGGTTTAGTTTGTTTGCACCGCGTTTGTGTATTGTATAACCTTTAATAAATTATATTGTTTTTACACCTTACTTGAAGCCTGCATTTCCTTGTGTCAGTCCACACATCTCTGGTCATACCCGGATCCCTGACATTACACCAAGGCCAGTCCTGACCAGAAGTGGCTGCACAGGGAAGCCATCTTGGCTTGTTGTTGTGAAGGATGCATCCTGAGGAGGTTGTGTACTTGTATCTGCTAGTCTTAGAAGACAGAGAATATGCCTATCAAACTCTGAAGGAGTATGCCAGGGATCGACTGCTAGAGTGCATACAGGTCGCTCATTCCCTAGTAGATCAGGGCACGGAGGTCTCTGAGGTGCTACCATTGATTCAGGCTTGTGCTGAGTTGGCTTCATCTAGTACCCCTGAAAGCAGGAATTACTTTTTTCCACCATTTAGTGCAAATCATGTAGAGTCACTGGTATGGTTGTTGGAGGATGATCCAGATTGCTTCCTTGAGCTTGTCCATCACATCTGCTTGTGGATTGTATAGACGCAGTGCAGTCTTTGGTCAGACAGGCTACGTGTAAGCTGAGCTTTGTTCAAAAGGTATTACAGACATGGTCAGATTTGTTACACCCAGCCTCAGTCAGCTGGCAAAAACCCAGGCCTGCCTCTAATCCATTTTTTCAAAGCTCTATTCCTGCATTCCCGACAGCACCTCTAGTTCCAGCCCAATATACCCTGCTAGCAACCACATGTCAGTACCCTGTTCCCTCTCGCTGAACCTATCCTGCCTTTAACCCTGTAAAGAAGTCCTCTGTAGCAACTATTCCCTCCTCTGTTCCACCCCCTAGCTCTTCTCTGTCTTCAGCTGCTCCCTCCGATTACAGACCTGCATTTACTTACAGTGCTTCAGTAACTAAACCCAAGAAGAAGCGAAAAGTTTTTCCAACCAGTACCATCCTGCCAGTATCCAATCGGTCAGCCTGTCGTCTGATGACCCGATCCAAGCCAGATGACCCAATCCAGCCTGATGACCCGATCCAGCCTGATGACCCGATCCAGCCAAATGACCCGATCCAGCCAAATGACCCGATCCAGCCTGATGACCCGATCCAGCCTGATGACCTGTCTGACTCGGTGCCCGCTGTCCTGTCTGATGACCCGGTGCCCGCTGTCCTGTCTGATGACCCGGTGCCCGCTGTCATGTCTGTCCTGCCTGATGACCCGATGCCCGCTGTCCTGCCTGATAGCCCGCTGTCCTGTCAGATGACCCGGTGCCCGCTGTCCTGTCAGATGACCCGGTGCCCGCTGTCTTGCCAGATGACTCGGTGCCCGCTGTCTTGCCAGATGACTCGGTGCCCGCTGTTGAGCTTGGTGACCCGGTGCCCGCTGTACTGCCAGATGACTCAGTGCCCGCTGTCATGCCAGATGACTCGGTGCCCACTGTCGAGCTTGGTGACACGGTGCCCGCTGTTCTGCCAGATGACTCGGTGCCCGCTTTTCTACCAGATGACTCTGTGCTCGCTGTCATGCCAGATGACTCGGTGTCTGCTGTCGTGCTTGGTGACCCGGTGCCCGCTGTCGTGCTTGGTGACCCGGTGCCCGCTGTCCTGCTTGGTGAACCGGTGCCCGCTGTCGTGCCAGGTGACTCGGTGCCCTCTGTCGTGCCAGGTGACTCGGTGCCCGCTGTCGCGCCAGGTGACTCTGTGCCCGCTGTCGTGCCTGATGCCTTGGTGCCTGCTGCCTCGCCTGATGGCCCGGTGACTGCTGCCTTGCCTGATGGCCCGGTGCCTGCTACCTCGCCTGATGGCCCGGTGCCCGTTGCCCCCCCGCCTGATGGCCCGGTGACCGCTGCCGCTGCCCCGCCTGATGGCCCGGTGACCGCTGCCCAGCCTGACGTGCCTCTGTCCGCTGCCCAGCCTGATGTGCCTGTCCGCTGCCCAGCCTGATGTGCCTCTGTCCGTTTCCCAGCCTGGCGTGCCGGCTCCTGATGCCCAGCCTGCTTCTGGAAATCCTGTGCCCAGCAACCTGCCTTTCTGCGGTCTCCTGCAAAAAGATAGGCCTATCAGCAGGAGACCCAGCCAATCGCTTGATTCCGGCAGTGGGATGTCCAGCCAGTTACCGAACCCAGGCGGTGGAACATTTGGGCCATTACGGACTGTTTGGAGCGTCCTGAAGGGGGGGGGGTACTGTCAGGAATGGTCTTATCTCTGGTAGTGCTGGGGCTTACCTGCCTTGTGGGCTGCAGTACCAGTGCTGGCCAGAGGGTGCTCTCAGCAGCCAGTGTCTCACTCCTGCAATCAGGCCATCACCTGAGGCTGATTGCTGGAGGTGTATTAAAGCAGGACCAGGCCTGCAGTCAGTGCCTTGGTGTATTGCTCCCTTGTGCCCTGTATCCTGCCTCCTGCCTGCCTGACACTCCTGCTGGACTCTGACACTGTTTGAACTCTGCCTGCACCGACCCCGGCTGTTCCTGACCACTCTTCTGCCTGCTCCTTTGTACCTTGTCTGCCCGTTACCTTACCTACCGACCCAGCCTGCCTGACTACGTTTGTGCTCCATACATATTTATATGAGTTAAGGTTTGGGTTTTTTTGCACTTCGTTGTACATATTTATATTAGTTTAGGTTTAGTTTGTTTGCACCGCGTTTGTGTATTGTATAACCTTTAATAAATTATATTGTTTAACACCTTACTTGAAGCCTGCATTTCCCCATGTAATCACACATCTCTGGTCATACCCGGATTCCTGACATCCACACTGTCCTGTCCTCATCCCCTCTGCAGAAGCCATCTGGCCTGACTGAGTAAGTTTGGGGAACAAATAAAGCCATTGTAGCTGATATATGAAATGAACGTTATGGAAATGCTGTGTACTTGGCTCCCTCCTTCCCACAAACTATGGACCGAGAACTAAGGCCTGGCTCACACCTATGCATATTGCATTCTGCTGCGGGAAAAAAGCACGGATCCTTTCCAAAAACACAGTGCCTTAAAATACATAGATGTGAATGTGTCCCATAGGAAACCATGTTAAATGGACTGTAGTGAGTTTCTGCAAAATGCAAAAACCACTAAAAAATGCATAGGTTTGAACCAGGCCTTAGGAGACCCCCAGACGACAAGGCTTTAAGAGGCAGGACAGTCCTCATAGAAAGGATTCTGGTTTATCTCCTCTCCCATTCATAGTGTGTTTCCTGACCGCCCAGTGGTGCAGCTTTGAGAGATGAAGATACCAACACAGCTTCCTGTTCCAAACATGGGGAATTTTTGCATAGTTTTAATTAAACATGACCAAATCACACAGAAGCTGCTAGTTAAAGAACAAGAGGGGTTTTTAAGGTCTTCTTCACACAGGGTGGACTCTTCTTGATCTTCCCCCGAGCAAGCAGATGACAGGTCCATGTCACTCTGCTTGTGCAGAGCAGACACAGCCTGTTCTGCTCTATGGGCAGTTGGATGTTAACAGATTGGCTGTCCATTTACACCCGACTGCCCTCCAATCCCATCCGCCCAGATGGAGAGGAATGGATCTACTTCTGTTTGTTTTTGGAGGATCAGATTGGATTGGAAGTAAGTGGGTGTAAACAAACATGTACATTTATACCCGCCTTTCCATAGAGCAGAATGGAGGGCCCAATCAGGTCCGCCTGAAAAATGAACAGGTGAACCCAATCAGAACGCTGGTGTGAAAGGAATCTAAAGTGTATTTGTGGTCAAAAATTAAAATCATACATTAATTTCCACCTGTCTATTGACATTATTTCTAGCCTACTATTAATATGAATGATCTAGATTAGAGATGAGCGAATTATTCAAAAATTCGATTCGGCTGATTCGCCGAATTTGTGGAAGAAATTCGATTCGGTGCGAATTTATTCGCTGCGAATTTAACTTATTAAAAGGGTTTCTAGGCTTCAGAGAGCCTTTATATTAGTGCAGAACACTCTACCTTTAATTTAAATGCCCTTGGAGTCTGCTGGGGAAGAGAAATAATACTGTCAGTCAGTATGACATGCAGATAAGTGCCGTCGATCTTAGAATCACCGCACACTTCACTCATTTGGGCAGTCACGGGGCACGACGAAGAAGAAGAAGAAGAAGAAGAATGAAAATAAGAAGAAGAAGAATAAGAATGAAAAGAAGAATGAAAAGAAGAAGAAGAAGAATGAAAAGAAGAAGAAGAAGAATGAAAAGAAGAATGAAAAGAAGAAGAAGAAGAATGAAAAGAAGAATGAGAAGAATGAAAAGAAGAATGAGAAGAAGAATGAAAAGAAGAATGAAAAGAAGAATGAAAAGAAGAATGAGAAGAATGAAAAGAAGAATGAGAAGAATGAAAAGAAGAAGAAGAAGAATGAAAAGAAGAATGAGAAGAAGAATGAAAAGAAGAATGAAAAGAAGAATGAAAAGAAGAAGAAGAAGAATGAAAAGAAGAAGAATGAAAAGAAGAATGAAAAGAAGAAGAAGAATGAAAAGAAGAATGAGAAGAAGAATGAAAAGAAGAATGAAAAGAAGAATGAAAAGAAGAAGAAGAAGAATGAAAAAGAAGAAGAAGAAAAGAATGAAAAGAAGAATGAAAAGAAGAAGAAGAAGAATGAAAAGAAGAATGAAAAGAAGAAGAATGAAAAGAAGAAGAATGAAAAGAAGAAGAATGAAGAATGAAAAGAAGAAGAAGAAGAATGAAAAGAAGAAGAAGAAGAATGAAAAGAAGAATGAGAAGAAGAATGAAAAGAAGAATGAAAAGAAGAATGAGAAGAATGAAAAGAAGAATGAAAAGAAGAAGAAGAAGAATGAAAAGAAGAAGAGGAAGAATGAAAAGAAGAAGAAGAAGAATGAAAAGAAGAATGAAAAGAAGAAGAAGAAGAAGAATGAAAAGAAGAAGAAGAAGAATGAGAAGAAGAATGAAAAAGAAGAAGAAGAAGAATGAAAAGAAGAAGAAGAAGAATGAAAAGAAGAATGAAAAGAAGAAGAAGAAGAAGAATGAAAAAAAGAATGAAAAGAAGAAGAAAAAGAATGAAAAGAAGAAGAAGAATGAAAAGAAGAAGAAGAATGAAAAGAAGAAGAAGAAGAATGAAAAGAAGAATGAGAAGAATGAAAAGAAGAATGAAAAGAAGAAGAAGAATGAAAAGAAGAAGAAGAAGAAGAATGAAAAGAAGAATGAAAAGAAGAAGAAGAAGAATGAAAAGAAGAAGAAGAAGAAGAATGAAAAGAAGAAGAAGAAGAAGAAGAAGAATGAAAAGAAGAATGAAAAGAAGAAGAAGAATGAAAAGAAGAAGAAGAAGAATGAAAAGAAGAAGAAGAAGAAGAAGAAATGAAAAGAAGAAGAAGAATGAAAAGAAGAAGAATTCCAGTACAGCAAAAAGTGTATCTGCAGAGAGATCCGCTATTTCTGACAGTTCTCTGACAGTTCCTTCACATTTACAGCGGTTGAAACATTGTATCTATTTGTTTCCGAATAAAAACATCTGTATCCTAAATGGAAACAAATAGATACAATGTTTCAACCGCTGTAAATGTGAAGGAACTGTCAGAGAACTGTCAGAAATAGCGGAGCTCTCTGCAGGGACACTTTTTGCCGGCTGTAGAAGGGATGAAAATCGGCCGATCGGGAAAAATTCGATTCGTGCATCCGAAGTTTGCTAATTTTCGGATTCGGTGCGAATCGAATTTTTCCTAATATTCGAAACGAATTCCACTTCGCCAAGTTCGATTCGCTCATCTCTAATCTAGATCCCCACTCGCTTTGAAATCTGTGACACATGTAGGGTTCTGCTGCCCTCTACTGTGTAAATGTCTGTAGCTATATTACGTTTGCACTTCCTGTCCCTGGGTTGTTGGCTTTGAAACCCTGAAAGTAGGAAGTGGAAAGAGAGAGAAAGTGAAACATGTTCTGCCCATGCTGCTAAACCCTAAGCCAGAAGAGACTATTATGCAAGTATTCCTATGACCAAATAGTTTAACTGCAGCTGCTGAGTGTAGATCTAAATTCTTGTGATTGAGTATCTCTGCCCTTCCCTTGTTATTATTTCATATGCAGCTACGTCTGTACTACTGTATGTGTAGTGGTCACAAGTGATGGGCCGAATACCACCCTGTTCAGTTCGTGATCGAACATTCAAACCTAACGAAAGTTCAACCGGGACAATTCACAAAGC